AAATAAAATTTAAGTATTATCAAGAAACTGAAATGCTGATTCATGGTCTCCCTAACATGAATCACAATTTCGGTATGTAATATATAATCTCATTACTCCTCATCGGAGAAGAAGATGATGAACAGAAAGGCTCTCCTATTCATAATTTTTTTCCTTCAAGTTCATTTCATTTTTGCGTAGTGTTATAACAAAAGAAGACATTTATATCAAATTATATGTTTGTCTTTCTTTCAAAATAAAAGGGGTCGTATGTAATTGTCTAGAAGTAGACATTGGGAATCAAACCATGAGATCAATATAATTTTCCCAAGTACGTACTTATTTATTGCAAAATGCCTCTATCTTATTGTCCGTTGGCTACTACATTTCTTCATTTTCTTTGACTTAAAAGCCACTATATAAATCTTGTATCCACCACAATTAAGAAATTGCAGAGCAAACTTCTAAGCTAGAGATGGAAATTTCAGAGCAGACGGTCAAAATCCCAGAGGCAAGTCTCGGCTTAGCCGGCGGCAAAACAATTCCTCTGATAGGATTTGGAACAGCCGACTTTCCATTTGGCGATCGACCGGAAGCCATTAAAGAAGCAGTCCTCCACGCAATCGAGCTTGGCTACAACCATTTCGACACGGCCGCTGTTTACCAGTCAGAGCAGCCACTCGGAGAAGCCATTAATGAAGCTTTACACCGTGGCTTAATTCAGTCCCGAGACCAACTCTTTATCACTTCAAAGCTCTCGACTGCCGATGCCCACCACCACCTCGTCGTTCCTGCTCTTCAAACAACTCTAAGGTAATCTTAACTCCAACTACATAGATATGATCTTTACATATTGCATAATAAGTAGTGTATAGATACATATTTTGAGGGTTTGAGTTTGGTGCACGAAAATAACAGGAATCTTGGTATGGAATACGTGGATCTGTACTTGATTCATTTTCCGGTGAGCTTGAAGGAGGGAGCTAAATACCCATTTGGTAAAGATGAAATTGTAGGGATGGATTTTAAGTCTGTTTGGGAGAAAATGGAAGAATGTCAAAAACTGGGTCTGACAAAATCTATTGGAGTTAGCAACTTCACATGCAAGAAACTAGACAAGCTTCTCAGTTCTGCAACAATCCCTCCGGCTGTTAATCAAGTCAGTCGTCATTAACCAACTAACATATACATATATACGTATAGTTTGATGAAGAAAGGGATTAAATTGATCATGTAATTCATTTTTTAAAATTTTAAATTTGAAGGTGGAGATGAACCCACTATGGCAGCAGAAGAAACTGAAAGAATTCTGCGAGGAGAAGGGAATACACATAACAGCATACTCTCCGCTGGGAGCCAAAGGAACGCCGTGGGGAAACCAGCGGCTCATGGAATCTGAACAGCGGCTTCAAAAAATCGCTTCTACTAGAGGAAAAACTGTAGCTCAGGTACATGTTTTTCCATAAAAATTTATTAATTTAACAAAAAAAAACAAAAGAACATAATATGGATAAAACAAAAATAAATTATGTTTTTCTATACAAAATTTTCATATAAAAAACAAAAAATCTATATTAAACTTGTAAAGAAAGTAAATAAAATGACAATTTTTGGACACATATATATATATATATATACATATATGCGTGTGTGTGTGTGTGGTATGGGACTACCAATAATTTAAAATATATTATTCATTTAATTTTGTATCAAATATATTATGTGGTTAATTTGGAACGGCAGAAGAATCTTTCTACCCATACCAAGATCTGGAAATTTTGCTCATCCTACAAATTTGAAAGTGAAGGAAAAGGAAGCCTTTGTTGTATTCTGTCATATCGATAAATATATATATATATATATATACAAAATTAATAGGAGAATTAGATTCGAAGATTAGATATGTGATTTAATATTATATTAAATAAAATTGAATTATAATTTATGCTGATACATGTGATAATCCACCAATAAACTTATATTCCAACAATTAATAATTTCAAGTCGTTGCGAAACTTTCGTTAATTAGAGTAATTGAAGTTGGGGACTGGTGACTTGTGACTCGATTAAGTAGTCAAAGCCGGCAACAAAATTTTTATTAATAATATAGTAATTTATGTATGTATATCATTTATTAATAAATATATATTTTTAATTTAAAAAAAAAAAAAAAAACACACATAATAAAATACAAAACAAACATTACATCTACTTTCCAACTACTTTGATATTGTAATTCCAACGTAAATACATTCAAAATTTGCATTT